CGCGGGGGGGGGGGCGGACTTCAAGAGCAGGCTTGGCCGTAGCGCTGCTGCGGGCTTGCCCGGTTGGACGTTCCGCGGCCCCAGGGGCCGGATGGCGGGGGCGCGGGGGGGGGGGCGGACTTCAAGAGCAGGCTTGGCCGTAGCGCTGCTGCGGGCTTGCCCGGTTGGACGTTCCGCGGCCCCAGGGGCCGGATGGCGGGGGCGCGGGGGGGGGGGCGGACTTCAAGAGCAGGCTTGGCCGTAGCGCTGCTGCGGGCTTGCCCGGTTGGACGTTCCGCGGCCCCAGGGGCCGAATGGCGGGACCGCGGGGCGCGTGGGAGGGAGCCGGGGACCATCTGGAGCAGGCCGAAGGCGGAGGAACCACCGGGGACCCCGCTGACGTTGGGGTGGCCGCCGGACTTAGGATGGCCTACTTATAACGCCGCAAGTTTAAACTCTTGAACTTAAAAATTGGAATAAACATTTACAAGGCGATTTGCAACAACGGATAATTGGGTCAGTGTTTGTTCAGCTTCGCCTTTGGTTTTGGCCTGTGGCTCTCTGGGTAGCCTGCTGGCCTTCTCATTGGGACACGTTCTTTCTTGATGTTGAAGTCCAGTTTATAGTCTAAATACGACTTTTATTCAGACAAGGCAGTTGCCATGTTTACCCCAAGGTGCCTCATATTGATGCCCCTTAAGGGCTATGACTTGTGCACAGTTGTAATTCGGGCTTAAAACATCTCTATCACAGGTTTTATTTCATGTGGTTGTTTCCTAATTTGCGGTGGCTTTCCACTCTAATCTTTGTCAGTCATGTACGTTTATCAATGTATTCATTTGTCTAGAATATGTGAATTAGGATGGTTTGTAGAACGATTTATGAGTGATGATATTAATAGAACAAACATAAGAATTACACCCAAGTTCAGGAAAATGTTGCCAGACTGGGCTCCTAGTGAAAGATGCTACTACGTGATTATCAAAAATTCCATTATTCTTTCTGTGTTGCAACATACTTGATTCACCAAGGTTCCTCAAGCCCGTGCTAACTTTATTCTGACATTATTGTGACGTATATGTACGTGAATTTAATATATACACTATAGCATATATTTTAATTCTACTTCTCCTTAGAACAGGTTTCTTTATTTTCCTGTAAAATGAAGTATAATAAAGCTTAAAAATGTTGCATATACATTTTTATTGGTTGGGGGGGGGCATTCATAGCTGATTGCCAGAATAATTGCATAAGTAAATTTCAAAACAGTTGGACCAAATATTTGAGTACAACTGTCCTCTCCACCATTCATAAAGTTGTCATGCTAATAGTGACATCCTTCTTGAGCAGTTATTACAATGTGGTTATTTTGTAAATGTTGGAGCCTGCCCTAAAGGAAAATGGCCATTAGTGGAAAGTCAATTGCATGGCACAATCTTGAAAAACGTCCATGATTTACATGATATGAGGTTTGGTCAATCACATAATAAACTTGCAATAAGCTTGCACAGAATACCTCATAGGGGAAGCTCAGTATTATATAAAATAAGCAGAGCCCAATTGTGGCAGACAGATTTTGAAAGGTTTCTTGCTGAAATCATCCAAAATGGGTTTAGCAGAAGATACCACCTTGCTTACCTAATCTCTCTCATTTCCTTAGATCAACAAAGCAACAGTTGTCCAAACAAAAACAGTGAGTTAATCTATTTAAAATAATAGTTTTTGATCTCACAATTTCTAAGCACAAATGTACTATGTGAATGATTAATGATTGTATTAATCAAATAGTTCCCACCTCTTTCAGTATATCTGTATGATATTCGGTTCAGATGTTCATTGGGGTTTTCATGATGTTTTTTTTCTTCAGTGTATGATGGTTTCCTATTTTAGATGCAGTTATAGCATAAGAAGTTTCAACATTAGGAACTGTTAGTTTTCCACGGCAGTAGCAAGGAACTGTTGTCAATTTTTCAGCATTCTCAGCTTTGCAAAAGGTTTTAAGATAGTGAAATAGGAAAGAGGATTTTTTTGGTTTTGTTTTTTGTTTTTACTTGTTTAATCCTATGCTTATATTTTGGGTGCATTGTGCTTAGCAAACTTGGGTGTACTTTAGAATCTGAGTATATTTTATTTGGGAACTGATGGCACATATCTTGTGTATTTATCTATGTTAGAGGTAAAATACATGCTTGACCAACACCTCAATAACTTTTTGGCTGAAAATATATTCTTCCTCTCCTCCATTTTGGAGCACATCACTGTCACTTGAGTGGTGAGCAAAATTTATTGGAGGTTGTATTGGGCCTGATGAAATTGCCAACAATAGAATTGTATTATCTATTGTCCCATTGATAACCTAGAGCAAATTGTATCCTTCCCCAGAAATTAACAATACTTATACAAAGAGAAAGGAGTGGGGGATACCTGCATATTAACTGACAGGAGATATATTTTTTTGTGTTGTTTTGTTTTGTTCTGTCTTTTTCTCATGAAAAATTTATAAGCTGCTTCCTTGCTATTATTGTTGTGCCTCTTTACCTCTTCCACTTCAATAGAAAATATTTTGAATCAAGAAATTAATAGACTGAAATGTATAACATAATATTTTCCTCTATTTAACAAATTATATTTTATTTTATTCTACTCCCACTGCAAGAGTTTAGGGCTCCATACATAGTACTTCCCAGTTAGTATAACAGTTACAATCAAATAGACTGCTAGAAAACAGCTATCCCAGAGAATCTCAGGAGTTTGTAAGGATGTCAATCTTGGTCCCAGTCACAAACTAATCCTCTTATAAGTCCACCACACTGATTCTTATTGACTTTAGGGTTAAAAATTCAATAGTGAAAATACTGAAAATAAATTATGACATATTTACACAACTAAGTATGTTTTAGAAGTATTTTGAAACATTTTAATTGTAGTCCTGGGAATTGGTTTATCACATTCTTTACACTTTTAATTTCTATGTTCTTTATCTTCACCCTTCTGTTATTATACAACTGTAGGCATTATCGGAAGCGCTCCTCATCACGAGGGCGCTCTGGTAGCCGTTCTCGCAGTCGTTCTCCATCTGATAAAAGAGCAAAACGTGGAGATGACAGACGTTCTAGAAGTAGGGACAGAGACCGTAGACGTGAGAGATCGCGGAGTAGGGACAAGAGGAGGTCTCGATCGCGTGACAGAAAACGGGTGAGGTAAGTCACAGGCCTTAATAGGCTCTTGCAAGGAAAATTTCTCAGTAAATGCTGAATATTTTGTAGAAGAAGGTTGACAGTACTCATTAGAATTCATTGTTCTTTTATTGGAATTCATTTTTCTTTTATATATGGTTTTTGAGATGAGTATTTTCTGCTTCCTCTCTAGTGAATGATGTTTTATAAACTAGAAAAAATATTTTACTTAAAATCATACTCAAATCTGCTTTGTATAGGCGCTCAAGAAGTAGAGAGAGGGAAAGGAGCAGAGAGAGAAGACGATCACGCAGCCGAGAGAGACGACGATCTAGAAGCCGAAGCAGAGGCAGACGGTCTCGATCTTCTAGCCCTGGCAAGAACAAGAAAGTAGAAAACAGGTAATTAAATATATGCAATTTTATCTAAGTGTTCAATAATATAGCTGTTACTATGGTCAGATTGCTGTAGCCATGAACTTTTATCATGGGATGCCATTTGTATATCGTATTTTGCTATGCCATGTTTTGTTTCTCAATCTTTTATGCCTGTGGCCCCTTTCCGACCTTGTTTTTCTCCTCTGCCCCCTGTCCAGGTCCCATTACCAATGAAAGAGATTGCCACTTACACACTTGGTTTGTAAATAGAATATATGTTTTTATTTATAATAATTTTAGTACTGCAGCATAGTCCCTTGTCAATCAACAGTTCGCTGAGGGCTTCTGCTGTCTGCCAGGCAAGGAGGCCGGCAACAGTGCCTAGTTCCATGTCTCAGATACGGACACGGGACAGTAAGTGGTGTGTTTTCTGGTATCAACAAGACAGTATTTGGAGTATAATACACTTTGCTTTTTTGTGGCCCCCTTGGCACATGCCATGCCCCCCCTTACATGTTTTTCACCTGTGGCCCCCTTGAAATATCCTAGGGCCCTCAAGGGGCTATATGGCACCTGATTGTGAACCGCTGGTATTATTGATTAGATTAGAAAAAAACATGAAACTGTAATCTTACTCATGTACTGCAGTCAGTAGTATTGAGAAAAAAATATAACTCTAAAAGATAATGTGTATTTGGGGAGTTTGTGCAGATTATAATGGAGAAATAGAGTAATATCCAGTTGATTTGGTGATTTTGCAGTTCACATTCTTTTTTTTTTCTCCTTCATAGTATGAATTACATAACTCTTTCCTTTTTGTGTACATGGGGGGTGGGAGGGTTGGAAGATAGAGTATAATATCTGAGTGTTTTAAAAAGTAATGTATTTTAAGCTCCTACCATATTGTAGAAAGAAACAGTTCTTTAAAATTAAGGCTTTGTTTGCATAATTTGATTTTTACAATTTGTACCAAGAAATAGCATGAATACCTTGTATTGTTCGTCATCCAATTTAATACCTCATGCAATATATTCTAGTCTTTATAATTTATAGCCCTATGGAATACTCTCCCCCCAGAGGTGAGGCGGGCTCTTACCCTCCCAATTTTGGGGGGGAATTGGAGACTTGGCTCTGCCAACTTGCGTGGAGCAAGGAAAGATACAGTCGACCCTGGGGACGGCTGGCACCTTGACAATGCTCCCTGAGTTTATTAACACCTAATTAACATCAGCCTCTTGGAAGTATCATATAGGAAGTTTGTTTTTTAGCATAATTAATTAATTTATCTATTTTAATTAAAGCTTATTCCATTTTTACTGTAAACTGCCCAGAGTCTGTACTGTACTGTACTGTACTGTACTGTACTGTAAACCATCCGCAGTGAGATGGGACGGTGACAAATTTGAAATATAAATAAAATAAATATAAATAAAATATAATACTAGGACTTGACAATTTGTAATAAGTTTCTTGGACATTGGCTTATTGTCCATCTACCTTTGTTAAAGGTTTTTCTCTTTAAATTTAAGTATTTAGTGTTCTCTCCCAGCCTCCTTATTTATTTTTTCTTTTCCAAAAACTTGTTTCTGGAATATTAATAACCATATGAGAAAAGGTAGAAACAATAAAAATACCTCACAAGGATGATAATGGGCTTTCATACCGAAGACAGCCTTTAAATTTGAGGAAAAGGAAGATGTATATTTACTAACATTAATTTCAGCCCAGCAGTAACTTCTAGGAGGATACCAACACTTGGAAAGCAAATCTTAAATCATTTAGTGAAATAAGTATAATTGTTTTCAGTTGATTTGCACAAAAGCTTCATTTAAAGAGTCAAAACAAACATTAGATTTATTATTGATATGAAATTTGTAGTAAGCACATATTCTCCTTCTTTCCCTCTCTTTATTTTTGTTTGAGATATAATAAATAGAGCCTACAAATGAGTATAAATTTGTCTATTTTTAAAGTATATATACATGAGCTTAATACTGTAATTGAAAGAGCCAAATATGGAACAATTCATCATATTTTCTTTTTCTATGGAAGCATGACAGGTCATGTGGAACAGTGCTCTGGAGTATTCTCTGACCTTTGGAATAACTCTTTATGAAGAAGAAGCTAAATAAACTAACCCATGGACAGCTATTAGGATTCTTGCTTACACTAATCACATACTTGATGATAAATCCCACTGAACTCACTGGAACTTTTGTGTGTGTGTGTGTTTGTGGGTGTAATTCCTAGTGTGTTCCCACAGGTGCAGGGTCTGCTTTTTTCAGATCAACCAAACATTGATCCTTTGATTGCAACAGGAATTAACCAACTGGCTTGTCACCCAAGCCTGACATTGTGGGCTGAGAGAGAGTGGCTGGCCCAAAGTCATCCAGTTGGTTTTCATGTCTAAGGCAGGACTAGAACTCACCATCTCCTGGTTTCTATTTATATACATATGTACATACATATATAGGCTGCAAATATACGTGCAGCTGTTTCTATGCAGAATTTGATGCATTTAAATTCTTTAAAATCAGTGGACTTAAGTGTGGCTAACTCTGCATTGGATAGAATGGTCACCTTTTTTGTTCCAAAGGGCTGAATTTTGTCTCCAAGAACTGTATTTTATCATCTATTCAACACACACACACATACAGAAATACAAATTTCCCTTCATTTTCATTTTTGATTAACTGCAATTTAGGATTGCATCCGATCTTTAGGAAGCCTTTGTACAAAATAGTTGGAAGCAAAGGTGTACATGGAATACTTTCCCAGTGCCCTACAGATTTAGTGCTCTGCAATCTTTTAAGCATGATGAGTATGAAATCATACAAAGGTTGTAAAGAATATGCTGTACATAAAGAACTATGGGAGATTTGAGCAGCTTTATAGGTCATGAATTTGCATATGCTGTCTAAACACTGACAGAGGGAAACTAATTTATTCTAACTACACTTTAGGGAAATACAGTTTAAAATTGGCTTATTTCCCTAACCTGGTTTATAATGAGTTTATCTAGATTTAGACATAATGCTAAATCTCAGTTAATTAAAAATTGAAATAAAAGTGTCTTACTTGCCTGAATCTGCCAGAAGGGCAGAAAGAGGAGTTCAGAAACTTAAGTCTCATTTACTATGTTTAATTTAATGTTGTATCTGAATGAGAGCAATGTATAATAAAAACAATTGTTTCTATTCATCATTATTGTCTGTCAAAAGAAGAGGACACATTCTGCAATACACAATAGTTTATATATCTTTCAGATCACGCTCTACAGAAAAGATAGAAGGTGTGGAAGTTAACAAAGATAAGAAAAAAGAGAAAGAGGACAAGGAAGAAGAAAAAGATAAAGATGTAAATGTATGTACAGTACAGTTATAAATGTATAAAGAGTAACAAGCCATTTTTAAATCAACCATAATTTTGAAGGTTATGCAGAGATTTTAATGGGAAACAGCACAAAAAACATTTAAATAAATAAATATGAAATAAATGTCTATTTTAAAGGTGGTTTCTATGGGATGAAGCCAGACAGTAGCTCAAGATATGATTTCACAATGATTACATTTTCAAAAATCCTAGTAACAGTTGAGTTATGTGTCATTAACTACAACCTCTTCACCTATTTGGTCTATCCTGGCTTTTGTTATTTATTTCTCTTTTATCTGTCAACAAAACCATGTAGCCTTTCAGAGAGACAGTACTTTTCTCCCCAACTGAGTAAAGAGGTCTCAGCATGCTACCCATATTAGTCCATTTAACAAGAGTTGTGTGTGTGTGTTTTCTTCTCCCTGTATGTTGCTATCCACTGGTCTAGAATGTAGTTGTACCACATTTTAGTTGTAAGGAAAGTTCACTTTCTGAATAAGTTGTTGTACTGGATAGAACTGATAGTCAGGTTTTGCTGAATTTATGCTTCCAGGATCTAGATCAGTTTCACTTCTCTTTAAAAATGGAAGCCATGTTAGAAATTGGTAACTCACTTTTTGGGTGACTTCTTTTTCTGTAATAGAATTTTGATCAGAACAAACTGGAAGAGGAAATGAGAAAACGAAAAGAAAGAGTAGAAAAATGGAGAGAAGAACAGCGCAAGAAAGCTATGGAAAATATAGGAGAATTGAAGAAAGAAATTGAAGAGATGAAGCAGGGGAAGAAATGGAGCTTAGAAGATGATGATGGTATGAATATCTTCATATTAAAATTGTTTATGAGGGAAGAGGCTATGTACTTTTGAACATAGCTGAAGACAGTAGGCCACAATGTTTCTTAGGGTTGTGCATGAAATGGGGAAAAAATTTGTTTCAAACTCATTGCTTTCTAGAGGTTATATCAAATTGTTTTGGATCAACCCTGGTTACACAGAACTGAAATTCAAAATGCTTTTGTTTTTTTGGATTTGGGATGAAACAAAATCCAGACAGGATGAGTTGAACAAAGCTAGCATGGGTCACTCCTTGCCTCCCCTTCTTCACTCCCAGCACAACATAACTTGCCAGCCTCCTCCTGTTTTTCCCAGTGCTTTCCCTCCTGTTCCTCCCCTCAGCAGAACATGTCCCCGCTCCAATCTTCCCAGTGCCTTCCCTTTCCTTTGCAACTAATGCTGCTGACATCTCAATATGGCGTATCCCTTGGCCTATTTTCTCCCTCAAACCTCAAACCCTCTGTCCCCTCAGCTCTGATGTCCTAGCATGGCTGATTACACCAGCCTGTACATCCCCTCGATCTTCCCAGCTTCTCTCCTCCCCCTGCCTCCCTGAAGCTGCTGAAACCTTAGAGTTTTTACATGCTTCTCTCCAACTACTATTGTGTGGAGCAAACCAGTCCTGCACAAATGAAAACACCCCAAACTTGCATGTTTTTGGTCCAGGCCTAGACCATCTGAAACTAGATGTTCTGTCCACAGGACAGTTCATGCATGAAGTTTTTACTTCTTATTTCTTATGCACTGAGTCTGCCTATATTTTGTAGAGAATTTGGAAAAAAGGGTCCATTTTATTCTTGAGACCTCAATTTAGTTTTACTGGATGTCAGAGGTTTAAGCAAGGACCCAGTGTGGTATTGGGCTAGAACCAGGAAGACCCAAGTTTAAATCCCAGGGAAGCTCATTGAGCAATTTGGAGCCAGAGATGCACTCTCAACCCAACCTACTTCATAGGGTTAATGTGGGAAAAGTTGGAGATGGAAATGTGTTCCTACCATCTTTTGCTCCTAAAGAAAAGGCAGAAAGAACATAAGGGTCTAAAATTTTACTGCTTACACACAGAAATAGAAAATAGCACTAGAATTTGATTCAGAAATATGCAGCAGTGGTTTTGTAGAAGCATGCCTATAAAAGTTCTGAGTCAAGTGACAGTCTGGAAATAGAAGGAATGGCTGTATATGGAGAGAGGGAGATTGATTCTGTTATTTCATTTTTTTAAAAGAATTATTTAGTGTTATAGGTAGAAAAAGTGAAAGCTTTCACATTCAGCAATTAGCAGAAAATCAGTGTTGCTCTTTATACAGAAAAGAGTCTCCTTTTTTAGTATTAAACATGTCATTAGGATGACTTATACGTGTAGGACAGATTGTATGGTTTTAAAATATCTTTCACATTAGATGATGATGAAGAAACTGCAGAAGGAGAAAAGGAAGGTAATGAAATTGAAGATGAAGAATTAGATCCACTAGATGCATATATGGAAGAAGTAAAAGAAGAGGTCAAGAAGTTTAATATGAGAAGTGTAAAAGGTGGAGCTGGAAGTGAAAAGGTAAATTGGGTTTGATTCACTATTCAGATTTTGAAATAGGCTTTTGAATATTGTATATGACACATAAATTCAAAATTAGAGTAATAAAGTAATTCAGCTTGCTGCTTAGTTTTGTTTGCTTCCAAGCTTGGTAAAATGTTCTTTTTTCATTTTAAAGAAATCAGGCCCAACAGTTACAAAAGTTGTAACTGTAGTGAAAACCAAAAAAGCCTCCCCAGAGACTGAAAAGAAGAAAGGAGAACTCATGGTGAATGATCAAGATGCAATGGAGGTAATTAAATTGCATTGTGTTATTACATGTGAAACTCCACTTCAGGAAATATGTGTTCTAAGAGCTGGTTTGTTTCAATCATGGGAATAATTTTATTTTGTTCAGTTTCCCAGTCTGTATAACAGTGAGCTTATTTGCATTGGAATCAGATAATTTGTTTTGTAGTTACTTTCATTCTGTGAATGCTTAAGATTTATACTTTTTCAAAATGAGGCATCCCTGAAAGGGAGTAGAGGGAAACCCATGTGAGATCACTCAGCATAATGAGAAATACTGTTAATATTATGGGAATTGAGATTGTGCTGTGCAGGCTAATCATGTTCCTCCTTTGGCTAACATAACTGTAGAGAGAGCAGTTAGAGAGCCTGTCCTTCCCCCTTCTCCTAAGAGGAGCATGCTTTGGGTGCTGCTTTCTGCATAGCTGCCTGGACAGTTCTCCTTCCTCAACTTCTGCAAAATGTAGGTCATCAGGGCAGTTACCCAATAACCATGTAGAACCATAGTCAGATAACACGTAGAAACTTTACAGTGGCAGAAAACAATTACAAACAAAAAGCAAAAAGGGTAGATGGGTTATGTTGCCTTTGTAGTAAAAGTACAGGTACTAAGCTAGGATAAAGCTAGTAAATGTGTAAATTTGGAGAAGAAGCACGCAAGCTACCTTGGGAAAAGGTAGCTGTTTACATTGTGAACAGTGGCATCTGAATTTTTAAATATATAAGTTAATTAAATAACTGATGGTTCATTCTAACAGAGGTTTCATAATGAGCAAATCTTTGTAAATCAGTAGTATGCTTTTTTTTGTTTTCTGGTTTTATAATTTGTAGCCATGTATAATTTCAGATTTTTTTAAAAATATAGAAATGCTTTGCAGAAAGAAGTATCTTCCTGAAGGTCACTTTTCCTGCTTTTAACCCACCAGTATTCCTCTGAAGAGGAGGAAGTTGATCTCCAGACTGCGCTGACAGGCTACCAAACGAAACATAGGAAATTGCTGGAACCAGTGGATCATGGGAAGATTGAATATGAGCCCTACAGGAAAAACTTCTATGTCGAAGTTCCAGAGCTAGCAAAAATGACCCAGGAAGGTAATAAGCACGGTGTCAAAGAAACTGATACTAAATTCAGTAGATTAAATCCAGAGATATTGTGACTTGGGCTCTTATGAAATATGATACTTCCTCATTAAATGAGGAAGTGCCAATTTCTTTGTCCCACTTGTCCTGTATCTGTTAAATTGTTCAGGTTGAGGGCTCCTTGAGCAGTGTAGGAGGCTGCAGAGAAACATCAGCACTCCTCCTGTGAGCAGCATTCTTTTCTGAATTGTCTTTTTATTGTCTAATACTTTTTTTTTATTGTCTAATATTGTCTCCCCATTGGGGGAGATGGGCAGCATACAAATTAGATAGATAGATAGATAGATAGATAGATAGATAGATAGATAGATAGATAGATAGATAGA